GAAGTGCCTTAAGCTCACGCGTAGATCCAATATCTAGAGATCCTAAACCGCGGTAAGATCAAGTCGCAGCGATTCTACCGTGACTTTTGTATCTCCTTAGTCGATCGCGATGACTGAAATCGATATACATTTAACAGAAAATCCCTCCAGGATTTCCTAATGCCGAACGTATAACAAGAAAATTATCCACTTGAGGGGCCTCTAAAAATGGAAACGGGAATGCGTAGAAGAGAAGGGAGGTTGAAAGGTTGCCGTAAAGGTGGAGAGGGTAGTTTTCTCTCGATCCGGTACGGTTCGCAACAATGTCCGGTGGTCCCAAGACTGGTGTCCTCCACGAATACAATGGCTGCGAAAAATCATCCATTATCCGCGCGAGATCCACGTATAGAAGGGAGATGACGAGAGAAAGATGGAAAGAAGATGGTGAGGTTGCAAGTTTGGGTCCATGGACAATGGCGTACGCCCATATATCACTCGACTGATTTTTCCGAAAAATGGAATCAATGAGTTTTTCTCGAAGGTGCAACGAAGAAAAGATGGGATTCCAGTCACCTTTTCGAACTAATGGAATACTTCCGATCGTGATTTCGACCATTATGGAAGACCAATATGGAAAATTTCTTATTCTCGCTTTTAATTCTTAGCGGAAGTTCGACCAATTGAATACTTTACAACTTTATGAGATTTAAGATGTTTAGAAACTTAGAAGTATCATTTAGAAACCAGTAATATTTGAAGAATAATAATTTCATTATTAAAAATATAAATAATATTATATTATTTTCTATTTAATATTTTCATAAAAACATAGAGAAGGAGACGGATAAAAAAATTATTAAAAAGAATAATTAATTAAAAAACAATAATATAGTAATGGCATCTTTAATTAATTATACAAAATTTGTGCAGTCCCTATAAGACTTATTTTGCATAATCGCTTAAAATTATACATGACATATGTGTGAATTTATTCTCTTAAAATCTATATATTAAAATCAATATTTTTATGATTCAGTAAATAAGAAATAAGTGCATCTTTTGTTTAGATGCTCTGTCCCCCAATAGATGAAGTACGGACTCACGATCTAAATCTAGCCATCGAACCTGCACATTCCTCCATGACGCCAGTGTATTACACATACATGTACAAGCTCGCGCGTGTATCGTTCTTCGATTTCAGCCATAGCCAAAACGATTATAATAACTATTTTATCCGGCGCGGATCTGGGCCATTGTGCCTCTCCATTCTGAAAGTCATAACACGATGCCTGTACTGCCCTTCAGGAACTGCCTCGACTGTGTTCCCTTTTTGGCTGTGCTATACCACGGTGTAACCTGGTGCACCATGAATTTCAAACATATACATACACACATACATACACATATATAGAGAGGTATGTATGACCAAGGATGCGAACACGACGACCGACACACAGTCAGACCCTTCTGTAACAACACGTGTCGTGCATATGTATGCATACCTCAAACATGCGAATGTATTGTGATTGTATATGCGGATACGAGTACTACATGCGTGTGCGTGACGACACATGACACGCACACGCAGACGATTATCTTCTAAATGTACGTACATAAGTACACTGAACGAAATGTGTGCACGAAACTTGCATTATCGTATACATATAGGCTGTCTTGAAATTATTCAACAAGATTTTCAGATCTGTATCTAAAAAAATCTTAAATTTTTAGATACTTTAGTGAAACCTTAGTATAATCTTAATGATAGATTCTTTATAAATCCGTTGCTAGTTTCTATCTGTAGAGTTTCAAGAAATTAAATTAAGCACTTTGATAAAAATTATTTAAATATCCAATTAAAATCACAAGTAAAACTTATTAAATTTTAATAAGATATTCATCGTCATTTCCCATCTAATCGCACATTGAAAAGAGAATATATATTTCACACACACATACAAAAAGTCCTTCAATCTTAATTATAATACGGAAATTATATCGATTTCTTGATATTTTAGCAAAAAAAAAGTGGCATAATGCGCTAAGATAATGTAAGGATCTGTTATTGAAGTTAAAGATTGCATTTTTAAGACACCCTATATTGAACCACTAGCGATCATGGTTTCGCGCTGACACCGGCGCACGCATATACACGTATGAATACGCACGTCTGTGTGCATATCGCGGCGGTGGCACACATCGACCACTGGCAATATTTCACGGCATATTGTTGCCATCTGCACACGCAACCCTGCGCGCACGACAGAATGCACGACGTAGGAGAGACGCGCGCTTTTATTTATCTGCTATTTATTTGCCAACGCGCGCGCTACCGAAGCGCGGTACCCCGACTCACGACCCTGCCGGGGACAGATTTGAAAAGTTATTAATCGTTCTGTTTTGGATAGGAGTGCCACGACACTCTAGCCCCCTTCCCGTCGCCAAACGAACTCCTTTTATGCGAGCTGCTAACCAGACGACGACGATGGCGCACAGTGGCCGTGCGAGCGAACGTGCCCCTTTCGATCGACTCGAAAGGGTGCCTCGAGAAGGTGTGAATCGATAGGTGGAGACAAGCCACAAAAAATTGAAATCAAGTCAACTCGTTCGTAGAATGGAGGGAGACAGATTGAGACGTGAATATGTTTTGCACACATAGTGCACACATAGTGTCGCACTGAGAGAAATGATTTTGTTGTAGGAACAAATCAAGGGAAAACAAATATATTTGTTTAAAAAGCGATCGATTAGTTACTATTACAAATTAATTATTTTTCATTCGTATGTAACAAACAATCAATAGTATCACTTGCAAATAAAAGGCTCATTACATATATAGAAGTCGTAGACGGTTGCAGGGTCTCAAATCGTAAGAAATGATCAATTCTAGTCAAGTATTCTCCCTATATTTGGCTGTGATTGATCAGTTTCCTACAATTTAAAATTTCACGATCATCTACGATTTCTGTGTAAACGAGCCTAAAGTCTTTCCAAAAGATATATTAGATTCTATATAGTTTGCTTCTGTTATTAGTAATTGGTTGATGTATAGTATACTAACAACAATCACAACAAACCAAACTTATAAACATATTTACCAGTCACTTGTTAAAGGTATCGATGGCTTGTTAAATTAACAAAATCCTTTCTCTCAGTGCGTTTGCTCGCGCAAATCATAAAGGAGTCGAACGAAGTTCAAATATACAAAATATTACGAATCTTACAATTAGTTCGTGTGAACCTATTTTCCCGAATAAGTCGATTCATAAATATTTACATCGTTGCGAAAAAAAACGAAATATCTTGTATACCGTAAAATGTAATATGGTGAATACGCCTTTGCGATCGAGATAACGAAAATATCGTGAAATCCGACAATTGAAATCTTTCCGGTGGTGAATAAAAAAATAAAGTAGCAGCGTCGCGAGATAAGAGATGACGCCGAGTACGTGGGACCCATTATCTCCACAACTTCATAAATATTTAAGACGCTTGCTTGCGTATAATGCCACAAATGCTTGGGCCTGAACAAGTTAAATATAATCTGTAGTATCGTGATGATGTGTCCCTGCAATGATAATAAGTCTTATCATATGATTCACACGTAAAATGAATAATATCTTCCAAAAATTTAATGAGATAGAAACAAAAAACTGTTTATTCAACGATCAGATGCAGCTTCACGCTTCGTAAACAAATCGTCTTCAAAGCAAAGTAAGCGAGATTTGTGCCGTCGCTTTGAAAAGGAGAGTCTATTCATTTAGTAATCGTTTCTCCTTTATTTTGCTGAATTCGTCATTGGATGAAATGAAATAAAAGTAACGCAATATTTTAATATTAAACATCTCTTTAAAAAACGGAACAAATCAAATTTGAATGATGAAGGAGCATAAAAGCCAACGCAGGGTGACAATGCAATAATATATTACTTTACATACATAACGATAAACGTTTCGATCATATATCTGGCCTCACTATCGCAAATCAAAAACATATCAGCTGCTTTGATATGTTTTGATTTGCGATACTGAAGATGACCAGATATATGGTCACCTTCGAAACCTTTATCGTTATATGTGTAAAGTAATATATTATTGCATTGTCATCCTGCGTTGGCTTTTATGCTCCTTCATCATTCAAATTTTAATATTATTTTATATTATTATTTTAACATTTCTCAAATATTTTGAGCATCTTTTATTCAATTTTTAGAATTTTCTAAAAAAAAAAGGGGAAGAGAAATACACAAACTCGACCCTCGTTCGGAAAATCGTTCTCCTCAGTGTTCATTTCAATTTTTTATGTGTTTCAGTAACACATATTCCCAATTCTAGCCGCGATTCGTCCCCGCAACTCGTCCAAGGGTGAGAACGCGGGTGAGAGCCGCCATTTTTCCCATAAAAAATCCGCCAAGTTCACGCTTCCTGTTCGCGCGTCTCCGCTCTCTCCTCGAGAGCGCAGCGCCAGGAGGAAGCTCCGGAAAAGGGAGTAGAATACGGGGGTGTGGACCGACACGGTAAAATATATTCCAGTCAACTTCCGTTGGAAATAAATAAGAGTCACGCCACGCGATCTCGCTGCGCCCCGACAACGGCGGCCATTCGTGTGCAGGGGACCTTATCTTTCGATATCTCTCTCTTCCCCTCTCACTATCCCCCTAAGCTAAGAGAAGCCATCGAGAGGAGTTCCGCCGCCACTCATCAAGATATACAGGGATCAAGATGAGACTCTCTGTAACGCGTTTGCGTAATCGCTCTTTAATTACTAACACCTACGTAATTGTGAATTCCTTCTTCCTAATGCGTTCGTAACACGATGAGAGTCTGATTATTCGTGATTAACTTCAATTATACTTAATATTATTTTTGTGATATTATTTGCGAGAAATCTTGAAAATTTCAAGCCAATTATTTTGTTCTTCCTTTTTCTGTGTTTTATGTTACACAATAATCCTTTTGCGAAATATTACATGTTTAATTGGAATATTATTGATTCTATGTTGTTACAATTTCTTTTTTCAGGCGAGAAACCTTTTAGATGTGAGTTCAATGGCTGTGAGAGGAGGTTCGCGAATAGTAGCGATCGAAAGAAGCACAGCCATGTTCATACTTCAGACAAGCCTTACAATTGTCGAATGGCGGGATGTGACAAGTCCTATACCCATCCTAGTTCACTACGCAAACACATGAAGGTACGTCTTCTGCTCGAGTTAATGAAACTAGCATGGCAAATAGATGAGAATGCACTACTAGGAATTCAATCCTATCGATTACACATTCGGGTTACTTACGTTTCGTAAGTCGTACATTCAATATTTCGACTTTGGACATATATGACGAAATAACGTTACGAAAAATGAGAACGTTAACATAAAAATATGTATAATAAAAGTTTACGTTGCTAATGAGAATTTACAACTATACTCAATTATTTTGATAAATAGCAAGGTATCATGATATTTATATAAATATCAAAATATTCAATATATATATATATATATATATATATATATATATGTGTGTGTGTACATATGTCGAAGTTTTTTGAAAAATCATTACAATTTTTTACAAATAATATATTATAGAAAAATAAATATTGTACAAGAGTAAAAAACAAACTGATAAGATAATACATGCTACAAGAAGATAAAAAAATTAAATAATTATTCAATTATTAACATGGATGAGAAGATAGCTTCTAAAAATTTTTTCTGTAGCAATTATTCCAATTTAAAAAAAATATAAAATAATCTCATTTTATGCAATATACACTACTGTTCAAAAATGCTTGAGAAAAAAAATCATACAAAAAGTTAAATATTTCAATAAAAACAAATCATAGAGAAGTTTTCAAAAATGCATTTTAAGAAGCAGAAATAAGATTATAAATTTGTTTTTCTTTAGTTTTATTTCTACAATATTATGTTCCTAAATTATATTTGAAATAACATTAAAAATTAAAAATTAATAATTTTTGAATATTTTTGTTTACTTTGTCATATTGTGATTTGATGAAACATTATCAGGCAAAAATTATTAATTAGAAGAAGTATTTTAACACATTAAACGCCACGCCACGCGAACTAAAGTAACAAAAGAACGAGAAGCAAAGTGGTGCTGAGACGATTAACGAATGTCAGTCACACAAAAGACATAGTATAATTTTGTTCTCTAAAACAAATCAATCAAATATTTTAAAAAGTTTTTTAAGACTGGCGTGACGTAAATAGAGGTATGACGATATTTTGCAATAATATTAAATATTTATTATGTTAAAATTCATTTTTAACATAAAATATTTTTTAACTTCGAAATTAAAAATTTAAAAAAAAAAAAAAGAAAAAACTTTTTGTTAAGTTTTGGTGAGATATGAAAAAATCACAAGTGTTCCCTTATGAACGATAATGTAAATCCGATAAAATTACGGAGATCAATAAATAATAATATATGGCACAAGAATCCTTTAAATTCAGTTGAAACCGTCCAATAATATGGAGTATTGTAATTATTCATTCAGTTTAAATCGTTAATTTAATAAAATGAATATCGTAACTGGATGTATATACAATACACAAATGATATATATACATATATATATATATATATATACACACACACATCCGATACACATCATTGATCCTTCGAACCTTGATAGATAAATAAATTAATATTACAATTAATAGGGGACATCTTTTATAACCGAAAATTGTTAAATTGGATTAACGCTAAATTAAACAATGAAAAGACAACATCGAAAATATGCGTTTTGATCGATAATCAATCGCGATTAATTTCAATCATATTATATGTATTATATATCAAAACTTAGATTTTTGTTTCTTGTGTGTATTTATTCGGATGTTGACTGCATAAATAATGAAACAAAACTGTGTGCCGTCCCTAAGACTACAGTGATTTTTTTCGCACGAACAATCACGGAATCTTAATAAGAAATTATCTCAGCACTCAGCTGAGATACGAAAAGACAGAAAGAGAGAGGTAGAATACTACGTGCAAAACTCAACTTCCGAGATACACGCGTGATAGGTCAGCTTCACCGGGAATGCTTTTGCTCTACGGTTTTCGCAGACGTGATTCGCGGAAGGCAGTCGTAGAGATTTGCTCACTGAATTATGAAAGAAGGACCAGAGAGATGGAAACGGATCTTTGATCCCCGTTTCTTTCGTTCTGAACTCTTCTTGTGCTACTATCTCCACTGATCCTTGTGATCTCCGTTTCGATCCCAACGATCGACTTCGAATTCTCCAATGTTATAAATCTCCAAAACGTATCATATAAATCAAAAATATGTTCTGTATATTATACGAAACATATAAAAGTTACCTTCTGAGAAAATAATAGGGTAACTTATATACGCTGCACCTATCAAAAAACTTAATTTATTAAATATTATTTACTATGTTTAAAGTAAACGAACTATATCAGTAAAAACTTTGTATTGTCTACTATTATAAAAAAAATTAGAAATCCGAAATATTTATATTTTTTTATTTTTTAATACGAAATATAAATATTTCGAATTTCGAATTTTTTTAAACCCTTGCATTTTTGCTATATATCCCATAAGGATGGGATATATGGCTATTCATAGGAGAAGGGGAGGGGATATGTATGGCTCATAAAAAATTTACAAATAATGCATATAAATAAGACGTAAAATGACACAATAACTTAAAATGCATTTATAAAGTTTATCAAGGAATGAGAAAATGATAAATATGTATATGAAATAATAAATAATAATTACAATCTTCCCAGATATATTATAAGTGTTATGACATGAGGTACATATTTCATGTAATGCGTTTATTGTATTTAATGCATTAAATTCAATCTACGCACTTTGTATGCTTTGGACATTAATCCCGCCTGTTAAAAATGCCACATATCCCAAACAGGTGACATATACAAGACAACTAAACAAAGAATACAAGAGCAAAATACTTGTATTTTGTTATACATACTTTACTATTCCTCTACACTCATGTATCACGAAATAATCACTAAGTCTTTTGCACATTCAATAATTATTTTATGTAAATTATAATTTATTATGACGTTACTTAATACAATGACAAATCGATTCAACTCAATAATTTCATTAATATTAACAGTAAGAAATTGAAATCATAACACAATATTAATATAACATAAAGACATGTAGCAGAGCAATTGCGGGAAAATTATCCTCACTCCTTTTATTTTTTCTGACTTTTGCGGTGTAAATCTCAGAGCAGCGTATTTGCTGAAGTTACTCTAATAAATAAATTTTAACGCACTGAGAGAAAGGATTTTGTTAATTTAGCAAGCCACCAGTACCTTTAATCGGTAAATATGTGACAATAAATTTTGTTGTGTTTGCTGCTAGTTTGTGGTTGCTGTGTCTGCTATACTAATTATTAGTAACCAATTATTAATAACAGAAGCAAATTATATAGAATTTAACCTATCTTTTGGATAGACTTTAGGCTCACTCGTTTACATAGAATTCGTAGATGCTCGTGGAGTCTTAAGTCATAGGAAATCGATCAAGCATAGTCAAATGTAGAGAGAATACTTGATTAAAATTTCTTACGATTTGGGATCCTGCACTCGTCTACGATTTTTATATGAGTCTCTTATTTGCTAGCAATACTATTGATTATCTATTACATTGACGAATAAATTTGCGATCGTAATAAATCGATCAGTTCTTTAACAAATATTATATTTGCTTTCCCTTGATTTGTTCCTATAACAAAATCATTTCTCTCAGTGCGATTGTACAGTAGCACTTAAAATTGAAAGATTTGGTATATAAGTTATTATTCACAATGCCGGAGAAAAATGATTATTGATTCGAATTCAGATATGCACTGAAAAAAAAGAGATTGGTAATAGATATCAAATGTTGAATAAAATAATTTCAATCAAATATTTGATAATTCATAATCAAAAATCATTTTATTCTTCTAAATATTTAGTAAATATTATTATTAAATAGTTATATAGTTGATAATACTTCCTAAATATTTAGAAAAATAAAATTATTTTTAGTTATATTAACCGAATATTTGATTGGAATTATTTCACTTAACATTTGATAATTATTATCACTCTTTTTCAGTGTGTATAAACCCAATAATACACTAATTATACCTCAAAGCAACTTCATACAAATCTATAATAAATCATATAATACTTAAAATATATAAATCACATCTTTTTTACAATATAGTAATGACAAAACTCGTCATTACAGTCGTTGTCTAATGCGATATCCTTTTCGACATTCTCTTTTCAGGTACATGGAATGTCATTACCGGAGGGTAAAGTAGGAGGAGGATACGAAAGCGAGGGAGAAGAGAGCAGCAGCAGCGGGGGTAGCCTGTCGGTGACTGGTAACACGGAATCGCCCCAACCACCTCCGGTTGTTGTCCCAACAAGAACAACAACTAATCTTCCTCCTACGAATCGAACTCACGATCCGTCGACTCGTGGAGCGACGGAGGTGGCGGAGTGGTACGTTTGTCAGCCACCGGCAGTTGGGCCTCAACCAGGGCCCCTACCTGGGCCGCCGCCGCATCATCTTGGTCATCATTTCAATCCGTTGATACACCATCAAGCAGCCGCTTATTAGGAAATATCGAAAGGTCGAAGTGTGACCAAGAGAGTCTTTCTAAAATCTCCGTTCCTATCCGCTGACCTCAGTCCAATGATGTGAAATAAGATTCCTTGCTGAGGACAAGTTTCATCAAAGAGAATACAAATGACAATCATCTGTCGATTTATCGAAGATAAATCCTTTGAAGAAATAATCAAGAATATGCCTACGACGAAATTCCGTACTCACCATATAAATGATGTAATCGGGCTTCATAGGCACATTATATAAAGAGATTCATGGACATTTAGAATGGGACAAAAATAACGCATTTGCTCTAAAAATATAGATATGGATTTAACATCATGTGGTATTTATAATAATTCTCATCACGTTAGTGATGTAAACACCAATATGATGTGAATTTAATACCATGATTTAAGTGATTTAACATGGTGTCAAATTCACACCCATATTTTTTAGAGTGTATGCATTGATGACATTATCGAGATAAATCTCATAAAAATTTAGAAAAAGTTTGAATGGAAAAATGTTTTGAATGATATAAGCCAAATTACATAATTTTTTCGATTGATCAATCGAAATATTTATGAACTAATAATAATTAAACCAAAAAAAAACATGTTTTACACCATGTAGCTACTTTTGCGAAAAAAGGCATCTTATGATCATCAGTATATTTCTGTTCTAGATAGTATTAAATAAAATAACTTCGTTATTTTTATATAATCTAAATTTATATAATCTTTTCATATTAATCAATTCTTCCTAATATTCTGCGTATAACTATTAATATAAATCTCATTTTTTAATTAATTTAAAATTAGAAAATGAGATACTGTTTAAAATATTAACTGTTTAAATTATTATATAAAACATACAATTATTATAACAATACTATATAATAAAAAAATATTACATTATAAAAATAATATTATAAGTATGCAGTTAATAAAATGTATGTTGCTTAATTTTTGAAAAGGTTTCAAAATTTAGAAAATATTAAAAAATATTAAGAATTATCAGAAAGTATAATAAAAAATTATTACAAGAATATTATGAAATATTTTCTTAACATTATTTTATCGTAATACAGTTATTTTATACGCAGAATATCAAGAGGATTTTATTTATGAAATGATAGTAATTTTCAATTTTTGGATTTAAAAATGTAAATTAAAAAATTATGCTTATCGTAAAATGTCCTTTGAAACAGAATACCTGTGGTTTCTATAATGTTTTTTTGATAGTGATTGTCGAAATGATTTTCGAAAATATTTCGTACAAAATTATATAGTTTATACTGCATAATGAAAAATATAAATTTGCTGATTCAGACTTTATACTGTAATATCACTGTTCATAGGTACATGTAGAGTAAAAATGAAGGTATCTGCGTGATATAATAGAAATTCGAGCTATCACTTGAATCCATTAGAAACACGATTGATTTAATAAAATAATATAGAATTCTTGCGACGTAATAATTTTAAGTTAATTTATACTCAACTTTAAACGAGTTGCGTAAAGATACACGATCTGTCTCGTCACTTTGATTCGCGAGATATCAATACGAAAGACGACCGTGTTTCTTAATGTTAACAAAACTCGTGATATTTGCTTGTACGGATATAAATCAGAATTTTGTTTGCTATGCACTGCTTGTGCCAAGCGAGAGAGAAAAATAATTACACGGCATAGGTTACCAACGATCCGCACTGGATCGATCTCCACATTCAAAAAGTCACTAGACATTGGAGAATGCAATACCTGCGATAATAATTTTATATAGCATTTCCAAACACAGATATTACTTTGGATTGCTATATAAAATCAAAATGAATGAGAAACAGATCCGAAATCTACAATGCTAATAAATTATCTTTGTTCTTTTTATTTGTATATAAACTTACGCAAAAATATTATCAGACATCAAGATTTATTTTGATCAAATAATAATTTTGATGAAATATCTCTTTTTGTTTATTTGTGTCATTTATTCTTCTTGTTCGTTTTGTTAACAACAATATGAAGTCGCCGACTTTCTGCCGATTCTGCAAAGAATACTAAGTTTGGTGATGACTTTCGGAGATTTGTGGAGACAAGAATATAAATGAGTAAAATTAGACAAATGGAAAACGGCAGGATTAATTTCATTTACACAAATATCCAATGATTAAATAATTAAATACAGCAATTCTAAATTGTTTTTGTATTCATTTTACGATTGATTTATCGCGATACATTTTCTTTGTGAATAAAACAATTAGTTTTTTCATTAATAGTAAATCATTATGAGTTGAGTTGCTATTTTGAAAGTTGCTATTTCGAAACACGAAAGACTGAAGATTAAAATATGTTTTGTCGCTGAATTCTGGTCATCTAATTATAAATTACTTTTAAGATTGCTATACTTGGATAAAGAACGATTCAAAAAAATTTTCCTGCACGTCATGTACAAAAAAAATTTTGCAGTATTGTACTTCTTTTCAATTTATTTGCTGTGATTATTTTTTATATTATATCTGTATGTATTATTTATATATATCAATTGTTCATTATCTCTTTTTAAATTTTATGGACAATTGCGATTATTATTATAAATTCTTCGTATATACTATATTATTTTAAAATATCAAAATTTATTTTATATTTACTTAATCGAATGTACCTTTTAAATATTATAAAATAATTTTATAATTTTTTTAATTATGGAAACATAACTAAATTTAAAAAAAATAAAAAATAAAATTGCTCATGATTTGAGCCTTTTTATTTTTTACTTTTTTGCATTGTAAATATTCGATCTTTATTCTATTTTATTTTATATAACTAAATTTCTTACGTTTTATATCCTAAATCACACATAAAATTCCTGAAGAAATTTATAAGTAAATTTCTTTAATATAATAAAATATTATTTGTGATATTTACGGTCTGATCAGTCTTCACAAATGTAGATACCATTTTACGTATTCGAATATATGAAATGCAAGATCTTTTTTGTTGTTTTCAATATAAATTTAATTTTCGGATAAATATAATCGGTGGAATGTGCTAGATGAAATAACAGATCAAACAGATATACAAGAATATACAAGCCACGCTCGTGCCTCAATTTATTAATCGCCAAGTAATTAATAAAACAAATTTTTTGTTTGTTCACAAAAAATTTCTCACAAAGGCTTCTCGTATACTCGAATCTAATGACAAAACATATTTGTAGTATTAGTTATGATGTAAGAATATCAGGTGTAACATTCCCGTGGATAATTGGATGACCAATCAGAAATTTGTTCCAAATTTTATGAGGCAATATAAAGTCGCTATGAGAAATCTACTACCAATCAATACCAGAGAAATTAGTCTCAAATTATATTCAGCAGCCATTATGAGCAATGGTATGGTTACACCTGGTATTCTTACATCATTGTATTAGCGAGAACAGAGAAAAGAAAATCGATTATTCGCGCTTTATTTTGGCAAGTGCGAGATATAAATATTTTGTAAGACTTGGCGAAACTTTGTACATAAAGTCAAATGTGACGATCGAACCTCGACGGCGTAGGTGTTCAATGTAAAATATTTACGATTTTTATTATGTGTGATATCCTGTAAATTTCGAAGCGTAGATAAGCAAGTGTAACATTATTGTAATAATTATTTTCGTTATATAAATGCTTATTATATCGACGGAGAAAAGAATATCAATATTTGTCGAACATAATTGTATCATATTATATTTGTTTTGCAAATCTGAAATATATTGACAAGACAGTATATTAAGATGCAATTTTACTTATTTCAGATATTGAATAATCCTACATGCGTACGTACTTTTTAAAAGCTCTTTGTACATAATTGGTATCTTTCTTTTTATAATAATTTATAAATAAATAAAATTATTTTTACATTATATTGATTTATACACAAGATATCACGGAATTATTATCAATACATGATATCGATATAACAATATTTGAGAAATCAGTTTCATTACACCCAGTAAAAATTTCATTAAAAACATAAAATAATTACGTACACAAAATCTATATAAATAATCAATTTCTTTAATAAACAAATGAAGTTTTTACTTTTAATTTGATACGTATCCTCTTCTCTGTGTCCTTTCGTATACGATGGCAGACAGAGAATACGAATCGCGTATGCGTCGGGTCTTCCAAGATTCCTAGACAAGATTATAAAAATCGTTTCTTCAGTGAATTATAGATATTGTATAGTGGATATAAGATTCTTATTAAACTGGCCCCGAATTTAAGGAGCTTCTCGTGGGGCGTATTGAACGGATAAAAAAAGTGAATAAGAAAGGGGACATATATACAGGAAGGGTTTCGGTTGGCGCCACGACAAGTATGTCTAGGCACCTACGCGAGAAAGAGAGCGAAGAGAAAAAGTGGAAGAGATAGCATCGGCATCGGGACGACCGTGGCGTTTTATTGCTCGATAAGCAGATGAATTCGTCAGATAATTTCCAGGCCCGATGCAGATGATTTTATTAGCTAAACCCATACGAGACCCCGGAATTCTTCAGGTCGAGGATTGAGATGACACAGGACTCCGGGAAGATCACCAGAGATAAGACGAGATACTGAGGGAGGTCCGACCAGGTGTCCTCGCGTGAATTCATATGATCGATGATTTTCGGATATGCTAATCTTTGCGCACGTTCGTTTTCTTATCCCAATTTGTGATGTACAAGCGAATTTATGATAAACGGATACGCACCGTAGATGCGCGACGCCGAGATGGTGGAAACGCAAGTGATGAAGCAGGAAGGTAGATACGAAAAATATATAATTCCTGTTCTCGGTAGGTGCTTTTGTCTTGCTGCCCCCGTCTGTCTTTTTTTTCTACCTACCCTCATAAAAGCGAGATTCGTATTAAAAAGGCACGACATATAATTAATGTCTGACAGTCACGGAAGATGCGGAGCGACGCCGGCATCCTATATCTTCTCTCATGTACACGTGCCAATTTATAAAGAACATGCATTCCTTTGCTCACATACGCGTGTTCACGTATTATAGGCATGTATACGCGTCGCGTGCCACGACGAACCGCGCGACTTGCGCACGTGCGTACTAAAGTACGCGTTCGCTAAAAAGCGCTTACATTAAATTCTTTAAATTAATAGCTGAATAATTAAACGCACGAAATGCGTGACGTCTTTCAGTCGGTATTACAATCCCTTCCCTCTTACTATATGAGCTGTTAGAACTCTTCTTTCATGTTCTTTATGTATCTTCCAGCTATAATAGTCTACGAACACAAAAGACAAGAAA